TTTAAAGACAAGGAAGGGTAAAAGGCATTGAGGAAAGGTAGAAGGGAGATCAGAAAACTAGAATCTTCTAAAACATGAGTCATCACTATATGGATGAATCCAGATTTATCATAGTTCTATATTTACTGTGGTTTAGTTATTTAATCACTTAAAATAATTTTTAAAAATTCATTAGTACATACTCTAATATGTTTCATTTGATTTTCTTTAAAAAAAAACTATTCTCCTTGTGTAAAATATATACTATTCTATATAGAAGGTTCTGTTGTACTTTTTTTTTCAGCACTGTAGTTGTGAGTCAAATGCCAATTCATACTGTAAGTTTTTTTTTTTAACAAAACCCTGATACTATATTTAATTTTTTTTAATTTTTATTTATTTATGATAGTCACAGAGAGAGAAAGAGAGAGAGGCAGAGACATAGGCAGAGGGAGAAGCAGGCTCCATGCACCGGGAACCCGATGTGGGATTCGATCCCGCGTCTCCAGGATTGCGCCCTGGGCCAAAGGCAGGCGCCAAACCGCTGCGCCACCCAGGGATCCCCATACTGTAAGTTTTTAAAATATTCTGTTATTGGGCAGCTGGGGTGGCTCAGGGGTTTAGCGCCGCCTTCAGCCCAGGGCCTGATCCTGGGGACCAGGAATCCAGTCGAATGTCCAGCTCCCTGCGTGGAGTCTGCTTCTCCCTCTGCCTGTGTCTCTGCCTCTCTGTGTGTGTGTCTCATGAATAAATAAATAAAATCTTTAAAATAAAATAAAATATTCTGTTATTTAAATAACCATAGGATGCAAAACAAATTTAAAAACTACTTAAGTATGCATAATTTGCATGAGCCATAAGGCCAGTCACTAGAGGAATTTTGAAAAGTGAGTAAAATACAATTACTCTCTTCAATGGGGGGAGTTTTATTCTATGTATAAAAATTAAACAAAGAGATAATAACAGTAATGCAAGGCTAAATATGTGTGCTTTAAAAAGATAGTACAGAGGCTTCTGGGTGGCTCAGTGCATTAAGCATCTGCCTTCACATGAGGTCATGATCTCTGGGTCCTGGAGTTGGGCTCCCTGCTCTGTGGGGAGTCTGCTTGTCTGCTTCTCCCTCTGTCTGCCCCTCCCGACCGCCCTTCTCATCCCCCCACCCCTAATCCCTCAAATAAATAGAATCTTTAAAAAATTTTTTTAAATAATATAAGCAGGGGATCGCTGGGTGGCTCAGCGGTTTAGCGCCTGCCTTCCGCTCAGGTCGTGATCCTCAAGACCCCGGATAGAGTCCTGCATCAGGCTCCCTGCACGGAGCCTGCTTCTTCCTCTGCCTGTGTCTCTGCCTCTCTTTGTGTCTCTCATGAATAAATAAATAAAAGCTTAAAATAATGATGTAAGCAAAGTGTCATGGAATTTTTTTTTAAAGATTTTATTTATTTATTCATGAAAGACAGAGAGAGAGAGACACAGGCAGAGGGAGAAGCAGGCTCCACGCAGGGAGCCCAGCAGGGAGCCCTCCAGGATCACTACCTGAGCCCAAGGCAGGAGCTAAACCGCTGAGCCACCCAGGCTGCCCTGTAATGGAGTTTTTAGAGGGGAGTTCAGGGAAGGCTTCAGAGGTTGATTTTGAAATGGGTCTTTTTTTTTTTTTGGAAGATTTTGTTTGTTTACTTGAGAAAGCGAGTGGGCACAGGCTCCAGCGCTGGAGCCTGGGGGCGGGGAGGAGGGGAGGAGGGGAGGAGGCGAAAGAGGAGAGGGAAGGGGAGGAGGAGTGGGAGAAGCAGACTCCTCAATGGGCAGGGAGCCCAATGTGGGGCTCCATCCCTGGACCCCAAGATCATGACCTCAGTGGAAAGCAGATGCTTAACCAACTGAGCCACCCAGGTGCCCCTTGAAATGGATCTTAAAAACTCAGTGGATTTTAACTGGGGGAGGGTGGTAATTCAGTTAATCAAATGGGACAACTTACTAAATTTTAACTTGGTAACCAGAAGTCATCGTATTCCCCTGTTATTGTTCACTGGCACTGTCCAAGAATAGCCCATAATCATAAATCAATCCTTTAAAAATATAGGATCAAAATTCTCTGTCCCTTTTGCCTACTGGCAGTTCCATCTCCTACCATAAAAGCTTTATGTGCCAGATATAGTCACTATTAGCACATATGCAGTTAGTAAATGGAGGAAATAATGTCAATATAATTCAGAAATTACATTGGTTCATTTTTTCTCCTGGTGTACTTATATTTTGAAGTGAACGGGGCAAGCCTTCTTTTTCATTAAGTAGAAAACCTTAGCAATATTAAGATTTTAAGAAAAAAAGCAGTTCCTCAGGAATGCCTCTTTGTGCAAATGGAGGCTTGTTTGATAGCTTCAAGAACCTTTAACCTTTCACAACAATAACTTATATGGTGAAGTTGCACAGTGTAAATGAAAGTTTCTCCTATGTGTGTGTGTGGGGGGATACTGATTGAGAAGGCTAATTCTTGGGTCATGTTTTTTTATTTTGATGAAACTGCTTTTAATTGGAGACAAATGCCCTCCAGGACCCATATGTACAAGAAGGAAGCATGTGTCCTATGGTTAAAGGTTCTAAAGCAGTACCATCCAATAGAAATATGAGACATGTATGCAATTTTAAGTTTTCTAATAGCCACATTTTAAAAAAGTAGCATAAAAAGGAATGAGTGAAATATTTCAACACGATTGATATAAAACTATTAATGAGCTATTTTACATTTTTTCTTACTTTTTGAAATTTGTTATTTTATGTTTAGAGCACACTCCAATTTGTTTTTTTTTTTTTAAGATTTTATTTACTTATTCATAGAGACACAGAGAGAGAGGGGCAGAGACACAGGCAGAGGGAGAAGCAGGTTCCACGCAGGGAGCCGGACGTGGGAATCGATCCCAGGTCCCCAGGATCACACCCCGGGCTGCAGGCGGCACCAAACTGCTGCGCCACCAGGGCTGCCCTAGCACACTCCGATTTGAATAAGCATATTTAAATGCCCCAGAGCTACACATGGTTAATGGATACCATCTTGGGCAGCATAGCTCTAAAGGATGACTGAAGTTGAACAAGAATACCAGGGGAGATTTAATTGGCATTATTTTTTATTAGCATAGTAAACTTTATTGTCCTCAAGTAACAAAGTTGCATAGGTTTTGATGGACTGCTCCTAAGCCTGTATTTTCTGTAAGTCCTGTTATTTTAAGTGCACCATTCTAAAGAACACTTGTTTTTCCTGTACATACTTTCTTAGCCTTCCTCTCAGCCATGGGTAGTCAGTCATATGATATAGTTCTGAGCAATGTAAAGGGAAGTCTGTGAAGTCATATGGGGAAATTTTTCACCCTGATAAGAAGGCCACAACGAGTTAGCTTACCCCCACCCCACACTCCTGCCTTTCTGTTGATAATAAGAACAAGATGTCTGAAGCTATTGCAGCCATCTCATGACTATGATAGAAGACTCTTTAATATGTTGAGGATGGCAGAACAGAAAGGCATCTTGGCTTATCAGAGATGAAAACGCAATGAAGCAGCTAGACATGCAAATATGGCTCAGTCCCCTGAGGGATGGGAGGGAGACTGGGGCAGAATTCGATAGGAGAAGGAAGGGTGCTTCCGTGGGGATGTCCTCAATGGGTTTTGCTTAATAGTCAACTGAAGCTCACCCTTTTTTCTCCTCTCTTTCTCCCCCTTGCTAACTGATGAGAATATTTTCTTTAGGTATGACAAGAGTGCTAGAATTACTCCCAACACATAAAAGAGTTCAGAGTTAGAAGCAGCAGTAAAATTTCCTTTAAGTCCCTTATCATAGGTTTTATGCATAAACGCTGCTCTTTGGCTGTATATATGTGTTTAATACTTTTTTTAAAAAAAGATTTTATTTATTCATGAGAGACACACAGACAGAGACAGAGACATAGGCATTGGGAGGCAGGGAGCCTGATGTGGGACTTGATCCCAGGACCCTGGGATCACAACCTAAGCCAAAGGCAGATGCTCAACCACTGAACCACCCAGGTGCTCCTGTGTTTAATACTTTTAAAAGATGTTTAAAGTTATCTATCTTGAAAAAAATTTCCATAACGCAGTTAATAAGATCACTGATTCAACCAATTTTGAGTAATCGGTAATGTATATCAGATTCATTGCTCAATAGTTTCTTACTTGTCTCAGGGTCACAATAATTCAAGAACCCAGATTCACATAAATATGTGGATTAAAATGGCAACAAGGGCAGCCTAGGTAGCTCAGTGGTTTAGCGCCGCCTTCAGCCCAGGGCCTGATCCTGGAGACCCAGGATAGAGTCCCGCATCGGGCTCCCTGCCTGGAACCTGCTTCTCCCTCTGCCTGTGTCTTTGCCTCTCTCTGTGTATCTCATGAATATATAAATAAAATCTTTAAAAATAAATAAATAAAATGGCTTTTTTTTTTCACTGCTTTATAGTGTCAGGGTAAATCAGAGGACATTGTGCCCAGAATGCTGCTAAAAAAATGGTCTCGGTAATTTTTTCAGCTACTAATTGTGGAAATTTTGGAAGTATATTTCCTGCTGAGTCATATGACAGACTGAATGGGTAACCATTCCACTTGTGAATTTCTTTTACTCATCAAAGGATTTTTTTTTCAGTGAACAAAGATGAAGTTTTGTTTGACCACTTATCAGTCTTATACTAACATTTTTATCACATGTAAATGAACCAGGCGTCTCAAAGGATTCACAGTTCTTTATCAACTTTCATCCAATTCCCATACTTAATTTTCAGTAGAGTCATCTCATCCAGTGCAATAAAAGTACTGTTTGTTTTAAAGTTGTTGATTGCCTTAACAAAGTAACCCAGCCGTCTTTATGAGTCAGTCTTAATCATTAAGGTGAACAAAGAATCAATTCACCTTATCTACATTTCTTTTCCTTTATGAAGAAAATGTCAATTCAATCCTGGCTTAGAAAACAGGTTATCACTTTCCTCAACCAAATGAATGTACTTCTAGATAACAGAGCAGGATTTTAAAGTCACTTCTGACTTTGGTGCAAATATGCCTTGAAAGGTAAGCATCCACACTACCAGATTTACTAAATTTTACTATCATGTTGAACATAAGAAAATTCCAGAGGCTAATTTTTAAATTTATTTATTTGAGAGCAAGAGAGTGCAAGCACTCATGTGAGCAGGGGAGGGTGTAGGAACAGAGGGAGAAGGAGAGAGGGAATCCCAAGCAGACTCAGGTACCCAATATGGGATGCTACCTTGCCAAACCCCAAGATCACCACCCCTGCCAGGCTCAACTGGTTGAGCCACCCAGGCACCCCCAGAAGGTAATTTTTTAAGGTGAAGGCTCTATGTGGACCATGCTGTAAATGTCCAAAGCCTTCAAAATCTGGCCTCAGCGGCACACATATACATGCATTTTTCTCTATGTAATTTCATGCTACCTAAAAGTCTCACCTTATTTTGTATAAGTTTTCTTCTACCCCAAATCCAAGTCTTCATCATTTAAAACTTAATAGAGTGCAAGAAAATTGCCAAATTGCTAACATCTATGCTTTTGTCCAATTCTAAGGTAAAGATTCAGATCCAGCTGAATTTACCCGTTAATGTGTTTCTTTCCAAGCACATCAAAATGCATCTCTAGAAAAATCTTCCGTAAAGATACTTAAAAATCAGCTTGTCCGCCTTTTTTGGGTCTTCAGGTTGTCCTAAATCTGTAGCACTAAGTGCTACAAGATCTTCTCATTTTCTAAGTATCACAGACTTCTAACCCATGGGAAACGGATTCCTAAGGGAACTTACAACCACCTTTTAAAATCCGCTGGTTGGTTTGTGCTTTTAGCGCTATCGCTTCTAGAGTCACCTCTCTTTTTAGTTCCAAAATTTGCATGGCCGCCTCTTTGACTTTGTTCAAGAGTCTGTGTTGATCAAGCAGGTACTGCCTGCGGGTGGGAGGAGGGTGTCTGCTGGAGCAAGATGGCTTTTGAGCTAGGCTTATTTGCATCCCGTGCATAACACTGCCTGTGTTCGATGTGTGCCTAAATACTACCTGCGCTCCGGGGCTCGCGGCGGCCCGCTCACCGCTCCTTAGCAACGGCTGGGAGGCGCTCTCACCCCGGTCACGCTCACCATCGGGCTGATCCCACCGCAGGTCGGACACGGCAGCGATTTCTGGGCGTTCAGGGTTTTCATTACCGTTCGTATTTTCACTGAACTAGCGACACTTCCAACGTCCCGTTCTTCGCTTCCAGGCCGTGTTCCTGGCTGAGAGCGCGGCTCTGATTACGAGTCACACACGAAGGCCGCGAACGCCGGCGCCCGGGAAGCGGGACCGCGCGGCCGCGGGAGGCGGTAAACCAAGCGCCGCGCAGGCGCAGTCCCAGGAGGAGGACAAACCCGGTTGGGGGGGGGGGGGCGGGCGGAGGATTTTTCGCAAAGTGGAAAGTGGAAAAGCAAAACCAAAACACCGCTTCTGGAGGTGATAAACTGCCGGGCTGTTTCTGTTTTTACTTCTGAGGAACAGGCGCGGCCTTCGGGGCCTTGCGAAGGCTGCAGAATTCCTCCTCCCCGGGACCTGCCGCCAGCCAGCGCGTCGGCGAGTTCTCTCGGCCTCGTTTGTTCTCGCCGCGGAGTTCGGATCTCCCGTGTTTGTTTACAGCACGAATCCACCCCGATTGGGAGGGATGGCGCTTAGAGGGAGCGGGGGGAGGAAGGCACCACAACGCCAGAAAAAAACAAACAAAAAACAAAAAAAAACAAACTCTCTTCTCGCGGCCGCCGCAAACATCGCGAGATCTGCCCGAGCGTCGAGCGGAACCTCCGAGGGCACGTCTGCGCATGCGCCTGACTAATTCCTTTTTAGCGCGAAAAAGTTTCGAGGCTTTCTGAGGCTTGGCCGTAAGCCGAATCTGCCCCTCCACAAGGGTCCGAGGGATTCAAACACACAACACTACATTCTTCCGAGACTTTGCAGTCAACAACTCTGCATGACTGCATGGGCGTCCCTTCTCCCCGTTTAATAGCCGTTGGCCGTGAAGTCTGTGTGAGACGAATTTTCAGCGAATCCACTACTCAAGCAGTTGGGGTGGGAGAGCCGACCAGGGTTTCAAAATGAGGGTGATGACTCTTCTGTATTTGGAAAGATGACTCGGGGACTTAGAGGAGTAAATCTGAGAGGGCCAAGATTTAAATTTTTTATTTTATTTTATTTTATTTTTTTCGTAGAGACTAAGGGAGATTGTTGAACTAAGGTAATGCAGTGGGAAGAAGATGGGAAAATTTGAGAATTTGAGAGGTAAATGAAGGCAGGAACTATACCCCACGAGGGAAAGGTGAGACCAGAAAGACAACTGTTGGCAGTGGAAAAAAGTCCCTTGAAATAGTGTGAACCTATGCTTGTTTGTAAAGGTAGAAATGAGTAGGCCGTGATTTGTAAGGTGAAAATTGGGAAGTCCCTCCCTGAGTGGGACAAGGAGGATTCGAAAAGCCGTAGTCCTGAACAAGGGCTGAGGTTAGGATTAGAAGGAACCGTTTAAGGTAGCAGGGGTCGGGTATTTGGGAACTGTCTTGAGAGAACTGACTAATCTTACCTCTTTTGCAGGATACATGGGACAATTGCACAAGCTTTGGATTTTGTCCTGCAGCATCTGACTGGTACCATCCAGACACCCGAAGCGCTGCCTGCCGGTAAGTCCCCTGGTTCCTCCCACCTCCCACCCACCCTGTCTATACCTCAGCCAGAATGAAGTGTGGATTTCATGGGGTGAAGCGGTGGAATTTAGTTACCAAGTCCACTAGACATACCACTGGTGCATGACAAAAATACATACTTCTAGCTCTGGCTTCCCGGTTCGCTAGGTATTAGAGTCCCTCTTGATACTGGCAGCAATTTTATGCAGCTTAGCCACTATATTTTGTTTTTTTTTTTAAAGGAAACTTGGTTTATTTTATTTTTTTTTAATTTTTTTTAATTTTTATTTATTTATGATAGTCACACAGAATGAGAGAGAGAGAGGCAGAGGGAGAAGCAGGCTCCATGCACCGGGAGCCCGACATGGGATTCGATCCCGGGTCTCCAGGATTGCGCCCTGGGCCAAAGACAGGCGCCAAACCGCTGCGCCACCCAGGGATCCCAGCCACTATATTTTGAATGTATGTGTACTGTCCGGAGTACAAGGGACAGGAGGGATGGAGTACATAATTTTACTAGACCACCAAAGCAGTGGTTTGTAGGTAGGTAATATAGCTTCATCTGTAAGAAAATCTAAATATAGAAAGCCGCAGGATTTAAGTTAAGCAGTGATGGACAAAGGATCCAGGTATTATATAATTATATATAATGAAATTTCTTCAATAAAGACCTAGATATGGCAGTCCCCTATCAAGAAGTTCTCCCTTGGAGCACTTCATACTGCATTTTAGCAGCCTAAAATGCAGCCTAGTAGCTGGGCTCCATGTGTGCCATTTATGGGAAAATGTTCCCCCCAATATTCATGGATCCAATAGAATTGGATTTCTGGGAGAAAGCCGGGGTGTCTTGTTTTAGGGAGTGGGATCATCCAGCTGTACGAGGGATGACATCTCAATATGGTGTCACAGAAAGTGTGTGGAATTGGGAATCAGACCTGGGGTTTGCCTCAGTTGGTTATGACAGTTATTCTGTGTGACTTCCCTGGGCCTCAGTTTCCCTCTCTGTAGAATAAGGATGACAGTTCCTACCTTATAGGATGATTATAAAGATGAAATGAGGTAGTTTAGAAGGCTGAGTTACTACACAGAACTTGATAATATAATTTATAATCAACAAATGAAAGTTTCTTCGCTGAATAAGGATGACAGTTCCTACCTTATAGGATGATTATAAAGATGAAATGAGGTAGTTTAGAAGGCTGAGTTACTACACAGAACTTGATAATATAATTTATAATCAACAAATTAAAGTTTCTTCGCTGAGTATCCCACATTTATGTATGCCATCTGCTCCTCAAATATGGAAGCTCAATGTAGCATAGAGCCATCTCTATTTCAGAGAGGTTGTTTACCTTGCCTTCACATTAGAATAACCTGAGGAGGAACGTCTGCGTGGCTCAGCGGTTTAGTGTCTGCCTTCAGCCCAGGGTGTAATCCTGGAGTCCTGGGATCGAGTCCCACATCGGGCTCCCTGCATGGAGCCTGCTTCTCTTTCTCTGTGTCTCTCATGAATAAATAAATAAAATCTTAAAAAAAAAAATAGAATAACCTGGGGAGGTTTAAAAAAAGGCCCAGGCTTCACCTTACATCAATTAAATCAGAATCTCTGGTAGTGGAGCCTGGGCATCAATGTTTTTTAAAGCTCTTCATTTTGCTGCTGAAGCTAGAACTACTGCTTTAAGAATTCCCTCTAGGGGATCCCTGGGTGGTGCAGTGGTTTGGCGCCTGCCTTTGGCCCAGGGCGCGATCCTGGCGACCCGGGATCGAATCCCACGTTGGGCTCCCGGTGCATGGAGCCTGCTTCTCCCTCTGCCTGTATCTCTGCCTCTCTCTCTCTCTCTCTCTCTCTCTCTCTCTCTCTCTGTGACTATCATAAATAAATAAAAATTAAAAAAAAAAAGAATTCCCTCTAGAAGGAGAAAGAAATTAGACCTGTGGTTTGAGATGATCGATCAATCTGTATACCTATGTATTCGAAAAATTTTTAGAGGAATAAAGGCTAGTGCTTGAGATGGGCAGATGAATAGGGCATAGTGAGCTATATTCAGGAAAAGAGACCACTATAATAAGAATGTGGTAAGCATCCTGATTTGGGAAAGGCGAGTGATGAGGTTGTTAATACAGTCCCCCGGAGTATATGGGCCTTGCTGTAGAGATGGAGGACTTTGAGCCTCCCAAGGTCATCCTTTGAGCTAGCACAGGCAATACCAATGATGATGTCTTTATTGCTTTACCTTGTGTGAATCTTTTTTTTTTTTTAAGATTTTATTTATTTATTCATGAGAGACATAGAGACACAGGCAGAGGGAGATGCAGGCTCCCTGCAGGGAGCCCAATGTGGGACTCCATCCTGGGACTCCAGGATCATGCCCTGAACCGAAGGCAGATGCTCAAGCGCAGAGCCATCCAGGTGTCCCTATCATGTGGTGAATCTTGAGCTGAAGTCCATAGTGGAGTGGAGGAAACTTTTATAACTGGCTCTGCTCCATTGGTTGGGGAGGGGCATCGTGGTATCACTGAAGTGTATGTATATGGGTGTTCTTCTCTGGTGAGAAGGTGCTTGTGGGAAAGCATGTGCAGCAGGACATTGACACCGAAACCTATGAGAGTTGTTGTGGCTGCTCTGACTACACAAGTGGTTTTGTTGATACTAACACATAAGAAAAGTGAGATGCAAGCCTGTTTTTGTAACCTTTCAGTGAATGTGGAGAGTGACTTGAACAGAAGCAATGGTATGTCTGGGTCAGGCATTTGAGCTTCTAAGAGACAAGTGCCTTTCTAGTAGGACAACTCTAGTTTCTAGGGATATAAGTGATTCAGATGTTGAAACCACCATACTACTTCAGTCTTTGGATGCCTAGACCTAAATGTAGCAGTAATGGCCAGGGCTATCTTCTGCCACATAGGGTAGCCTGTCCTTAACTGGGTCCCTTTTCTTGAGAAGCACATTAGTTTGTCTAGTCCCTTGAAAGAACATTGGGGAAATGACTACAAATTACTGGGTAGGGGGGAGACAAGGGAGACTGCAAAGATTATGAAGTGGGATATAGTAGAACATACATAAGTGAGTAGTGGAATGGAGGTAGGAGGATAGGAGACTTGGGGTAAGGAGGGAAGTGTGTTGAAAGTTAGAAAAATCCCGGGGCGCCTGCGTGGTCTGCCTTCGGCTCAGGTCATGATCGCAGAGTTCTGGGATCAAGCCCCACATAGGGCTCTCTGCTCAGCAGGGAGCCTCCTTTTCCCTCTCGCTACTGCTCCCTCTGCTTGTACTTCTCTCTCTGTCAAATAAATAAATAAAACATTTAAAGAAATAGAAAAATCCCAAGTAGTGACAGCTTAGTTCAGCTGTTATAAAAATATGTTAAAATAGAAGTGCCGTCTGAGATTCTATGACAAGAAGTACCACAGACAGACCACTCTGTAGGACTTACACAATTTATAGGAAGGTAAGAACTGATTAGGCTACTCTTGAACTCTCATATCAAGGGCATAAAAAGTCAAAATGAAGACTAGTAAAGGAGTTTCAAAGATTTTTAAGATTTTGTTTATTCATGAGAGACACACACACACACACACACACACACACACAGAGGCAGAGACACAAGCAGAGGGAAACCATCCTCCATGCAGGGAGCCTGACGTGGGACTCGATTCCGGGTCTCCGGGATCTTCAGCCCTGGCCTGAAGGCAGCGCTAAACCACTGAGTCACCTGGGCTGCCCCAAAGAAGATATTTGAATGGAGTTATTGGAGTGCTGTTAGACAAGTCAGGGAGAGAGAAGTGGCCACACTCTTTTCCTAAATGTAGGAGGCACAAACTGGAAGGAGGGGGAAAGCATTGACTTTAAGTCAGGTGGCAAATTGTGACTATTATGCAGGACTGGGTATTTTATTTTATTTTTAAAAGATTTTAGGGATCCCTGGGTGGCGCAGCGGTTTGGCGCCTGCCTTTGGCCCAGGGCGCGATCCTGGAGACCGGGGATCGAATCCCACATCGGGCTCCCGGTGCATGAAGCCTGCTTCTCCCTTTGCCTATGTCTCTGCCTCTCTCTCTTTCTCTCTCTGTGACTATCATAAATAAATAAAAATTTAAAAAAAAGATTTTATTTATTTATTCATGAGAGAGATAGAGTCAGACACAGGCAGAGGGAGAGGCAGGCTCCCCACAGGGAGTCCAATACAGGACTCAGGACTCCGGACTCCATCCTGAACCCTGGGATCATACCCTGAACCGAAGGCAGACGCTCAACTACTGAGCCACCCAGGCGTCCCAAGACTGGGTATTTTAGTTACTAACTTTTCTTAACTAAAGGTGACCAGAAAAAGGAATGGGACTACCCAAGTTTATATTCAGGATGGGAAAAGAACCAACCCCTACAGAGTGTTTTCACTGTGACAGTGGAAAATAAAAATTAAATTGCCTTAAGTTAGTCCCCAAAGTCAAGTTTGTTCAATGTGCTGGAACATTATTATTGAGCATCTACTTTGTTTATAAGTAACTACTGTTTTAGTCACTTACTATGAACATGACTTGTCTAGATACCACATATAAGTGAGATCATGCAGTATTTGTCTGTCTGGCTTATTTCCCTTAGTATAATGTCTTCCAGGTTCATCCATGTTGTCACAAACGGCAGGATTTCCTTCTTTTTAAAGGCTGAATAATATTTCTCTCTGTGTATCCTATTTCCTTTATCGATTCATCTCTTGACACTTAGACTCCGTATCTTGGCAACTGTGAATGATGCTTCAGTGGACATGGAATGCAGATATCTCTTCAAGATATGGTTTTATTTCCTTTAGAGATATTCTCAGAAATGGGATTGCTGGATCATACAGTAGTTCTGTTTTTAAGTGAGATTGACTTCTGGGACGCCTGGATGGCTCAGTGGTTGAGCACCTGCCTTTGGCTCAGGGCGTGATTTTGGATTGCAGGATCAAGTCCTACATCGGGCTCCCCTTGTGGAACCTGCTTCTCCCTCTGCCTATATCTCTGCC